TCATTTGATTTGATTTCATTTGATTTGATTTATTATTATCATCATATCTACTGAGACACAGTGAAAAGTATTGTTTTGCAGGGTATCCACACCTTACATAAGTACATCAGGGTAATAGAACACAATGTTAAATGCAGAATATAGTCTCTAGATCTGTTCTGCTTCTGTACCCCAGCCACCCCAGGGACCCAGTCAGTCCACCCCACTCTGCCTCCATAACCCTAATCACAATACCCCCTCTCCCAGGTTCTCACCCACTGCTAGAAACCACACTTCCCCATCCCTCCTCCACCAGACATGATACTCTCTAACCCCCCGCATCTCCTCCTCCCCCCCACAACACTGCCCTCTACAGATGAAGTGGAATGGTATGGTGTGTGAGAAGTTTCAGCCCTTTTCCCATAGTTTTGCTCACTTTTCCCTGAGTGCATGCCAGGCTCGATCAACCAAGCAGCAATAAGTCAACAGACTGAAGACCTGGACCCCATGGGTGCCCCTCATGATGAAAGGAAAGTGTTTGAGCACTAAGAGAGAGAGTGAGGTGCTGCCTGGTCCAGTCTGTGAGCTGGGTCCCTGTCAGTCTGTACACAATGTGCTCCAGCTGTAACATACCAATAAAAGGTGCCAGTATGCCTCATTGACGTGCAAACCTACATTATAAGATGGGGTGGAGATGTACCATGATGCTGGGACATATTTGATGCAAACATGTATGATCTGATGGAGTGTGAACATGGTCAATGCCTCTACAGAGTGGTCTGAAACATTACTGATAGCTGTCCAAGGAACAAATAGCGAGTTGCTTGTATCTCGTTTCTATCCAGCAGGTGGGTGAAGAGAAAATGCATTTAACAAAGGGGAAAAGAACTAATGATGAGATACTAACACCCCCTCCCTCTGCTCAAATCAAGAATGTTGTCACACTGTTCAATGCTTGGTTGGTCAATGGGGCATTTTACTCTCAATGTTGAGAAACTACTCACTGCTGATCTGACTTTCCCAAGTTTCTCTCTAATGCCCACATCGTCCAGTGGTCGCAAAGGATTTACCCATCCTTCCCACATTCTCCTTCTCAAGATCACTCAGAACGTTATACATTTGAATAAAGTTATCTTTTTCTCTTTTAAATTCTAATGGACACAAGCTGGGTCTGGCCCATTTGCCTTGTAAGACAAACCACCCATTCCAGGTATCAGAGATGACAAGGTGTAGAGCTGGATGAGCACAGCAGGTCAAGCAGCATCAGAGGAGCAGGAAAGCTAACGTTTCGGGCCTAGACCCTTCTTCAGAAAATGGGTCAGAATATCTCAGATTCTCCAGCATCTGCAGTTCCTACTATCTATCTGAGATTCTCCAGCATCTGCAGTTCCTACTATCTTCCTGCTCCTCTGATGCTGCTTGGCCTGCTGTGTTCATCCAGCTCTTCACCTTATCTCAGATTCTCCAGCATCTGCAGTTCCTACTATCCCATTCCAGGTATCAGTCTGGGAGATATCCTGTGAACAATCACCAAGACATTTACACTCCTCCTTGAATAAGGAGACGAATACCTAACTAATACTTAGGTAATCTATATGGGGGCATACAGAATAACCACCTTAGCCTACTCCTAACTTTTATCAATATTTTTAATTAGAAAACCTAAACCTGTATCCAGCAAGCAAAAACAAAGTTGCTGGAAAAGCTCAGCAGGTCCGGCATGATCTCTGAAGGCAAAAACAGAGTTAACATTTCGGGTCCAGTGACCCTTCCTCAGAACTGTATCCAGCGGGGACCGTTGTGTCACATCATGAAATGCAGGTTCGCAAATGGGTTTTCTTCAGTCTGGTCTTGATGATTGGGTCCTCTAGTGGCAATAAACCAGAGGCCAGCACGCTTGGAGTAAAACTGTAAGTCTGCAGATTACAAAAGATTTCAGGAGAAAGTTAAACGACTGCCAAGAATATTTGAAGGTGAGCCACCATTCATTAACCCTGCTTGATGTGATTATCACAGTCCCATGACTCTAGCTCCTCAATTGATCAAACAGATGTTTCTGCTGGATATTGGGCACTAATCTCTCAGGGAACATTCCATGGGTACTACACCCCCCAACCACCAACCCCGCCACCCCACCCACACACACACACACATACACACACGTGCACACACACACATACACACACACACACACACACATACACACATACACACACTCACACGCACCGTGCACACACACACACAATCACACACACACATAAGCACACACACACACACACACACAAGCACACACACATTATCCACAGACACTGGCATCTAACCCCAGTCTCTAAGAACCCTAAGGCACATCTCAGATCCACTTATAGGGCACTTCAGGACTTCAGTGCTACACCCTAAGCTGCCCCAGGAACTATCAATAAACATTATCAATGATACTCTCAGTGAGGGCAGTATACACTCAGGGGCATGCACTCAGCTCATTGACTGGACCAGGCTGCAGTTGAAGTCTTGTCCATTGGCTCTCATAACACTCACTCACTCTGAGCCCACCTGGATACACACAGTATCTAGGCATCAACCTTCTTCCACCTTGCCCCTGAGCCAGAGATACTAGACCCATGTACTGGTGTTTCAATGTGTTGTTCAGCACAGACATGAAGCCAGGAAGCTTGTCACAGTTGTCAGAAGATCTCAGTGTAGTCGCGGGAGATGGCCTTCGATTAGGGGTCCTGAAACAGTAAATCAAGAGCTGCCTCCAATACCATTTCAGGGATCGTGTCTGGCAGCTCCGAACAGTCAGTGCTTGCCTGGTTGTCCAATGGCTTTTGAAAGATGGGGCCAGCACCATGGATGCTGGCCAATTCTGGGATATTCAATGGGCATCAGGTTGTTCTGGGATCAGTGTATAGTAAGATGGGAATAGAATCAGACCTGGTGGATGTCAGGGGGGATAGGTAGGTAGTTAATGATGTAACATTAACATACCACCCTGTTCCCTGGCCATCATCTCTGTGTCAGACTTGCTGCATAGAACACAGAACAGAGAACATAGAACATAGGACATAAAACATAGAAAATAGAACATAGAATATAGAACAGTACAGCACAGTACAGGCCCTGCTGCCCAAGATGTTGTGCCAACCTATTATCCTACTCTAAGATCAAACTACCCTGCATACCTTACATTTTACAATCATCCATGTGCTTATCCAAGAGCCATTTAGATGTCCCTAAAGTATCTGACTGTCCCTAATGTATCTGTTCTAGTGAAGCTAAACGCAAGCAGGAAAAGACAACACGTCATTTTCCGCTTGGGGACCCTGCAGCCCTCTGGACTCAATATCGAGTTCAATAATTTTAGGGCCTAAACTCTCCCAATGTCCTAGCGCCCTACCCCACACACCAGGTTTTGGTATCACATAGCCTGTCATTACACACCACCCATTGTTAGTCGCTAACAGTTCCCATTAACAGCTATTCATCCTCCTAGCCAGATCTTTATCAACTCTTCTGTCTATCCAACTGTTTTTCTCTGATGAATTTCTGATGAAGGGTCTAGGCCCGAAACGTCAGCCTTTCTGCTCCTATGATGCTGCTTGGCCTGCTGTGTTCATCCAGCTCTGCACCTTGTTGTCTCGGATTCTCCAGCATCTGCAGTTCCTACTATCTCTGTTTTTCTCTCTCTTTGGGCTCTATCCCCATCTATCGTTTATTGCCTACCCCATTCCCCTCCCTATCTTCTGCATATAAACTGACTTTTTCCCAGCTACCGTCAGTTTTGAGGAAGGTTCACCGGACCCAAAACGTTAACTCTCGATTTTTCTTCACAGATGCTGCCAGACTTGCAGAGCTTTTCCAGCAACTTCTGCTTTTGTTCCTGATTTACAGCATCCTCAATTCTTTTGGTTTTTATGCTGATCACCTTGTCTGGTTCCATCCAGCTTTCCATTGTTATAATACTTCATTCTGTCCCCATTTCATATCTAGCCTTTTACATAAAACAAGAATTCTTAGAAGTAAAATCTGAGAAAGATCTGAAAAAAAAGAAAATATCAGATGGCTAGCCAAAAACTTGGTCTGTGTTTTATACTTGCCTGTGTTTGTAATTTGGCTATATTTGGGAATGGGTTTCATACAGATTTCAGAAATCTGGAATGCCAGTACATGTGAGTTTTTATTGAACACTGTCTTCTATTTATATCCAGGACAAGACTTAAAAGAAGACTCTCCTGTAGAATTACCAGAAAATGCTGGAGAAACTCAGCAGGTCTGACAAGACCAGTAGAGAGAGAGAAGCAGAGTTAAAATTTCGAGCCAAGAATAACCCTTCTTCAGAACTCTATCTTCAAAATCATCTTCCAGAATTCCCCACAGTCATGTGATCTTGCATCAATGATAATGTAAACTATCTTTTTTACATATTAACACTAACCCTTTGCACTGCAGTTTTGGATAGGCTTTTAAAAGAGAATTAAGGGTAGGGAGAGAGGCAAGGTGGAAAGGGTGAGAAAGAAAATATCAAAGCCTGTGGCCTAATGAGCCGAAGGCAAAGCTAACTACAGTTGTGGGTGAAGACGATGGGGCCATGCAAAAGACCTGGACTGGATTAACACCATTTCAGAGGTTGTGAGGCCAGAGAACATTACAGAAGTGAGGACGGCTCAAGCCATGAAGGAATAATATTGTAGGATTTATCATTTTACATTTGAAATGTTAAAGAACCAGACAACAATGTAAATCAGCAAGTACAAGGGTGGTGAGGAAGCAGCGTGTACCATCAGGAGAGGGTGCAGTCAACAGAGTTTGGGTGAGAATTTTATGGAAGGTGGAGGATAGAAAGCTACCAAGAGAGCATTGGGATAGTCGAATCTGGAGTCAAAAAAGGCATATACAAAGGATTTGCAAGCAAATTAACTCAGGAAAAGGTGATTGCAATGTTTAGGAAATGGCAGTAGAGTTAACAAGTTTGCTTCAAGATCAAATAAGACAACAAGGTTGCCAACAATTTGGTTCAGCATGAGATGGCGGTCAGTGAGGGTGGAGGTGGTGTCATGGTTAAGGTACCGTTTGTTCTCCAGGCCTTCCGAATGTTAACCGGAGGAAACTGCAACCATTCAGGGCCAATGTTAAGTAAGCTGCCCCAACAACCTTGAGAGAGTGAAGGAGTGAAGTCCTTTGCAAGAGAGACAAGTCTTGGTGTCATCAGTGTGTTCATGAAAGAGGATCACGTGCCTGCCAATGCCGTTGCCACAGGGCAGTACACAGGTGAAGAATAGGGGTCAAGGCTAATTCCTTGCAAAACCCGAGAGACTGGTTGCAATGACAGGAAAAGAAAATTTTACTACTTGCCTCACACCTAAGGGAAAAAAAGATGAGGTCAATTATAGTATAACCATCACAGAATAAATTATAAATTGCCAGAGCCTAGAAATCACACATCAGGTTTTTCTTGTCTATAAAACTAAATGCCCACTGGATAAACTTATTGAGCCTAGCTTATTGATCTAGTAACATAAATATTATCAGTTAGTTGTGTAACCCTCAAATACCAATAGTTTATTGCTAATTCTCCATGAATTAATAGAATATTTCAGTGTCTCATTCAAAGAAAAGCATACTTAAATGGATTTTCTTTTAGCCAAAACACATTTGAACTGTACGTTGTATGGTCAATTCACTTCCATCTATTCCATGGTAATGTGGAAACTGAATTTCACCTACTTTATTTCCACCTTGTTACCTCTCAGTAATAGTTAAGGTGTTACCTAGCAATTAGCTGTATTATCCAGATCGCCATGGACTGAAGTGATTCCGTTTCTAAAAATGAACTGATCTTAAGTAAGTGAACTTCAAAGACCTTATGAGAGAAACGTCTGAAAATGACACCAGAAGCATAGGCTGTAAACACTAATTAAACATACATCAGCTAATTGTTGTATTTTTCAATAATCCCCTTCTCTTTTATCATAACATTCTTCATAATCAAGAGTATTTCTAAAAAAATCCCCTTATGTTTTAACAGACTGAACTTAATCGCTGCAGAAACCTCAGGTGAGGAAATGCATGAAGAAAAATAACAGGAATGATTGGTTCAGGTAAGACCGTAAATCCCTTGATCTGGAGTTGATACCATTGATTCAGTATAAATGCAAATTCAGTTTCTGATGTCTTGAGCACTGCTGATGCACTGTAGCTTGAAGAACACCCTCTGTTACATGCACATAGATAAAGGTATTTTGACTTTTTTTTAAAGAAATACTAAATAATAATAGCATGGTCTATACTTAACTTCAAGTTCTTTAAAATACATATTTGTCTTCAGACATGGAAAAACTTATTATGTGGCTATAAATGAATAATCTTTGACTTTGAAGGATTTGAAGAAAGCAGAGAAGAAATTACATGTTTTGTATAATTTTGGCCTAGTGAGGCTCTTGACTGCAGAGTACACTGGCCACTGAAATACTATTATGTATTAGTTTCATAATACTGGTTAAACATGTATTGAATTTCTGAAATGTGTGGGAATTATGAAGGTTTAATGCACTAGACCTATGAACGACTATCATTCAATATTGTCAGATTCTGTAGGGAAGCTTTGTGCTATATTTGATACTGTGAAAATATTCATTTCATATTCAATAAAGGCTGCTAAAAATCTTATGATATGTATTAATTTGAAACATGTTCCTTTTTTTCAGGTAAACTTCTTTCAGGTAAACTTTATGTTACAAATTATGGTGACCAGGAGTTTTGTAACCTACATATTTCTCATTTTACTGAGCTGGAGGTCTGTCCAGTCACTGAACAGATGTCAGCTAACTAATATCACAATCTCTGTGGAGAAGGAAGAATGTGGATATTGTGGCATGGTCAATGCAACTTGGTGCGCTGGTTACTGCTTCACTAAGGTAAGGAACTTCATTTCAATATTGATAAGTTATCAGTTTTGTGCACTTGGTATTCTGCGTTCAAAGTGGTCAAAATCTATGCTGCAGCTGCAAGAGCAAATGATCAAACTTTGTATGTTAAATAACTTGCAAACAGGAACGCTGAAATCCAAAAAACAAACACCAGAATGTTTAAAACAAAACACAGGAGTTCTGTCCCTTTAAGAATGAAATGGCACATTTAACATATTGATGTCCAAGACTTGAAAATGTCTCCTCTGTTTAAGAATGCTGACTCGTTTACTTTAATGTTACAAACATTTTCTGGTTTTGTAATCATTTGAGACTTTAAGCAAAGGTATAACTGAAAATCACATGTGGTTTTAGAGATGACTGATATTAACTGAGTAATGTGTTAACATGGATTGCAAAATGCTGCAGATTTGGATAACTCAATTAGTTATAATCAACTTACTCAATGAACGAGCAAATGTTCTGATATGTATTTGCTTTTCTGTTTCTTAATTTATAGTTGCATCTCAGTCCTTATATCTTTTCTAATGTTTTATTTTAGGATCCAGTCAGCAAGAATTCTTTGGCCACCATCTATCAAGATATTTGCAGCTACAAAGAAATTGTCTATGAAACCATAACCATTCCAAACTGCCCTGCCAATGTTGATCCTTACTACACCTATCCCGTCGCTACAGGCTGTCAATGTGGAATGTGTAACACTGAAACCACTGATTGTACAGTTTCAGCTCTGGAACCTACACACTGTTCCCTGACACCATAAAGGGCAAATGACATTAATAAAGCATAGATAACTTCCTTTCCATTCAGTGGGTTCGCAGAAAAGGCATCTAATGCACACTCTTGCTATTCTAAACTGATTTGGGAACCGTATTAATCAGTGTACAGTAGCTTAATATTGAGTAGTTCTGAAAATGTTTCTTTTAATTTATGTGCCTGCTAATTGTAAGACATTTGTAAGTTATGTGTTGCCTTATTTTAGTACATTTTTATGAATTATAATGAAAGGAATGAACCACTGATAAAAGTTTTAAAGCAACATGTTTATGGCTGTAAGCAACATTTCTGTGTGTTGAAATACATGCTGGTTTTGTATGATCTGTTCAATAAACTATAATGTAATTTATATGGACCCACAAATAAAGAAAATATGTTGACTACTGAAATCCAAACTTTCTTTTCACTTTTAATTTCACAGATACCTTCTATGTCTGTAAAGTGGCTATTGCATATTAGAATAAAAATGCTAGGATTTATGTTTAATTACACTTTCTACGCTCATGCAGTTAGCTCAAATAAAACAAGTGACACCACTTATTGTCGTTCAGAAATCAAACTGAAAGGGGCAAGTGTATGAATGGACAATAAGGAAAGAAATGTGAAATGTTGTGATGTAAATTACTTGGAAAGTGCAAGTTGCTACGGCACTATGAACATATAAATCCCTACTGGTTTGGGTCAGATCAGGCACATAGGAAAATGGCTATAGTTGCTAGAGGTCAGTCGTCTCAGACCCAGGACATCTCTGCAGGAGTTCCTCACACTCATGTCCTAAGCCCATCAGATACTCCATCATAAGGTCCGGCATGGGATTATTCACTGATGGCTTTACAATGCTCAGCACTGTTTGGATTCACAGGTCGATACTTAACCAGTGTGGCCACATTCAGAATACACCTTGCTCGGCTGTCACATCCTGGAGTGGGGCATGAATCTGCAGTTTCTGGCTTAGTGACAGAATACCACCCATTGATTCAGAAGACCTTCAAAAATAATACGTGCACTCACAGGGAAAAATAAATATCAGCTTATTCATTGGCATCTACATTTTTATAATTTTTATCTTAGTTGCTCCCTCTTGTATCAAATTTCATGCTCCAACCAGATTCTATGCAAGCATTTTTCTTCATCTTCCTGCTTCATTTCCTCATGCTAACTTTAAATGAATGAGTGGGTCATCATGGACTATCTAACTAGTCCATGAGACTTGTCCAACACCAAAGGATTATTGGCTCTCTCATTGGATGCCTTACTGATGACCTTTCCTGGTGAGCTGGATGCATCTGCCTGTAAATGAGAGAAGCTGGTAATGAGATGAATACTGTAGCTGTTAAAAATTGGAAATATAAATCGAGAATGCTAGAAATGTTCGGAAGGCCAGGCAGAATCTGTGGGCGTAATAGGAGCGTATTGCTGCATTCTCACTCTCTCTCTTGGTCTGCCTTGGGCTGCTGTGATATAGCAGGCAGTTTTTGAGGGTTTGAACACAGAAACTCAGAAGAGAAGATTGGTGTAAGGGGAGGGAGAGTAGCAAATGATTCGAGGTACCATCTCCTGTTCATACCAGGTAGCAGGATGAGGGTGCATTGGGAGGTCAGAAGGGGGCATGAGGCAGGCATATGTCATAATCCTCAAATCTATCAGTGGCATCAAGAAGAGTCATCCAGGCTCAAAACGCTAGCTTGCTGTCCCTCCACTGTGATCTCTGGCATTTGTTGTTTTCACCACATAAGAACCACCCCGAGTGTGGCAATGTTGCCCCTCATGTCGCTTTTAAATATTTCTCTTAAAATTGTGCCCCCTAGTTTTAAACTCCTCCACACTACCAAAAAGGCATTTGCTATTCGTGGAAAGCCAGGGGAAACCTTCACATGGTCTTGTCGTATCTTCCTTTGATGAAAACTCATGTTCCTGGTGATTCATCACGGAATGGAAACTACTCATTATCTTGGGTTTCGTGGACTTGGATCAGAAGATCCGAGACCAGTTGGAGCAGGCCTAGTTGGACTGCCTTGTAGGGACTCACAAGGAAATATTCTGATTTAATAAGATGTAAATGGTTGTTTCTTTTGAAAGGATGTGGAACTTGACTTTTGATAGTCATATTGAAAAACTGCTGGAAGTGGTCATATCCACCACAGTGAAGACACTGAATGCCTCCCTTGCCATTTGCACCATAATGCTAGCACTTCAAGGGGAAGCGATCGTCTAATGGTATTGTTGCTGGACTGTTAATCCAGAGACCTAGATAATGTTCTGGGGACCTGGGTTTGAATCCTGCCACAGCAGGTGGTGGAATTTGATTTCAATAAATATCTGGAATTAACAATCTAATGATGACTGTGAATCCATTGCCGATTGTTAGGAAAAAAAACCCACCTGGTTCACTAATGCCCTTTAGGGGAGGAAACTGCCATCCTTACCTGGCCTGGCCTACATGTGACTCCAGACCCACAGCAATGTGGTTGACTCTTATCTGCCCTCTGGGCAATTAGGGATGAGCAATAAATGCTGCCTGGCCAGCAATGCCCTCATCCCATGAATGAATAAGGAAAAACAATCATTGCAGTTTCAGCCTTTTTCCTATCTTTGCAGGGCTTCTTGTCAGCTGGGACCTATAGCTTCGGATGCATCTTACTGATGGATTAATACCAGGCCTGAGAATTGTGTTGAGTTACCCCACCCCCAACCCCTCGGTCTCTCACTTTGTGCACTGCCTGTCTTGTACATTAGCTCACATTTTCAAATGTCACCCTTTGTCAGACAACAATGGCTCAGGGAGCATGTCATCAATAATCCAAATGATCTAATCACTCATTGCTGCATAATTACATAAAATTGGTCACACTGTATTAATCCTCAAAGGCGTGAGTTAAGATTTTTGGCTACTGGAACATCTGGTTGGACAAGGAGCATTTGATCACAATGACAGGAACATCCAATGACAGTTTTGTCCCTTTACTGGAGAAGTATGTAATTACATTGGAGGCAGAGAAAGTTCACTAGATTAATTCCAGAGGTGAAAGACTTGTCTCATAAAGGGAGATTGAGCAGTTTAGGCCGATACTTAAAAGGATCAGAAGGTCCAATTGAGATATGTAAGACATTAAAGTAGATTGATCAAACAGATGTGGAGTCAATGTTGCCCCTTGGGCATTCTATAATGAGAGGTCATTGTTTTAGGCTAAGGGGTTTAAACTAAATTGACAAGGGTTGGGAACTTATGCAAGGTGTGAGAGGAAGGGACACAAAGGACATGAGAAAAAGACAAAAAGGTGAATGAGAGAAATGATAGGCAGAGGAATCAAGGCCAGAATCAAACAAGGTCATAGTAAAAAAATAATGAAAATGGGGTAAGGAACATTAAAAAGATAAGCATAAATGTTTATTACCTAAACACATGGAGTATTGAAAATAAAGTAGAGACAAATTGAAGTAAACAACTGATTGATTGATTTATTTATTGTCATGTGTACCGGAATACAATGAAAAGCATTGTTTACGAGCAGTACAGGCAGATCACAGCAAGCAAAGGATGTACAGATCAAAAAGACTTGGAGGCATAAAGGTTACATTGCAGGTTACATTATTTGAGACTACAGTCCATTCAACAGTCTGATAACAACTGGGAAGAAGCTGTTCCTGAACCTGTTTGTGCTTTTTTTCAGGCTTCTGTATCTTCTACCTGACGGAGGGGATTGTAGGAGATCATTACCAGGGTGTGATGGGTCTTCGATGATTTTGGCCATCTTTCTGTGGTAGTGAGCCATGTAAATAGAGTCCATGGATGGAAGGTTGGTGTCCATGATGGGCTGGGCTGTGCGCACCATCTTCTGTAGTTTCTTACGGTCCTGGGCAGAGCAGTTGCCATACCAGGCCATTATGCACCTGGACAGTATGCTTTCAATGGTGCATCTATAGAAGTTGGTGAGGGGCCTTATGGACGTGCCAAATTTCCTGAGCTGCCTGAGGAAGAAGAGGCATTGTTGTCCCTTCTTGATTGTCACATTTACATGGTAAGTCCAGGACAGGTTGTCGGTTATCGTCACTCTGAGGAATTTGAAGCTCTTCACACTCTCAACCTCAGTTCCATTGATGTAGATGGGAGTGTGTTCTCCTCTTTTCTTTCTGAAGTCAATGATCAGTTCTTTAGTTTTGCCAACGTTGAGAGACAGATTGTTTTCATTGCACCACATCACCAAGCCCTGTATCTCCCTTCTGTATTTTGACACATTGTTGTTAGATACCTGTCCCACCACGGTGGTGTCTTCAGTGAACTTGTAGATTATAGTTGTACAGGGTATGATATAGTTGGGATTATAGAGTCATGGCTGCATGGTGACCAGGGATGGGAACTGAATGTACAGGAGAATTAAGTATTTAGGAAGGGCAGACACAAAGGAAAAGACGGTAGAGTTGCATTACTGGTTAAAGAGGATGTAAACACAATGTTAGGGAAAGATATTAGCTCAGACAATGTAAAATCTTTGTGGGTAGAATTGAGGAATATCAAGAGTGAGAAAACATTATTGGGAGTGGTATGTAGACCACCAAACTGCAGTGGTGGTTATGGAAATGGCAGTAAACAGGAAATTGGAGATTCATGTGGTAAAAATCTGTAATTACAGGTGACCTTAATGTGTGTGTATATATATATATATATATATATATACATACACACATTGGGTGAATCAAGTAGTGACAATACTGAAGAGAAGGAACTCCTAGCATGGATACAGGATGGATTTCTAGACCAATACGTTGAGGAACCAACTGGAGAACAGGCCATCTTAGATTGGGCAGTATGCATAGAGAAAGGAATAAGCAGGAATATGGTTGTGTGAGGCCACTTGGAGATGAATGACCATAATAAGATAGAATTCTTTATCAAGATGGAGAGTGAGATGGATGTTCGGAGACTAGGATCCTGAATCTTAATAAGGGAAACTTTGATGGTAAGAGGTGTGAGTTGATTATGATGGA